CAGCCCTCTAGTGTTGTGCTCAGTTGGCCTTGGCAAAAGGGGTGCTGCAAATCTGGCATCCTTTTTGGAATGGACATAAATATGGTGTTTAGAAACACCATAACTGTTGCACAACATCCTGCCGTGTTTATTTCCAAGTTTCTTTAGGCAGGATTTCAGCTGAGGAATTCTGGTGTTCAACAAACTTTTTTTTTTTTTTTTCTCTTGTCTGTGTAGAATCTCATGGCAACATTCATTAACAGTGACCATGCAGAACAAGGGGAGCAGCTGCACAGGGGAGATACATGCAGTGTAGGGAGAAACACTCTCTTTAGATGATGAGTGTCTGTTCACCTTATGATATCTTTACAGTGCCAACAGAATAAAAGCGAAGGTAAAGCATCTTAACCCCTTGTGTATGTGCAATGAGAGGATTAGTGACAATGTGACAACATCATCATAAAAGCCTTTCCTCTGTGCACCTTCCAGCATGTACATGCTCATGCACTGGGAGTGAATAAGAAGAGCCTGACACAGAGCCAAAGCTGCTGCACGTGTGGTAAGGGCAGAGCCACTGCTGGCAGCATGGCAGAGCTTTCAACATGTCTTTCAGCTGAGGGCTATCCTTACCTTACAAACCAGAAATTATGTTCTAATCTTACTGAAAAATAAGATATTTCCTGCTACTGCGTACTTATTTCTCTCATTCTCGTCTGATATTTTTAGCCCTCAAAAAGCTACACCCATAAGCTTTCTCAATACCTATAAGAATTTGGAGGTTGTCCCCCTAGTTCAGAATAGCCAAGAAGTGTCTTGGATATAGTTAAGTGTCTTGGATATAGTCTTCAGGAGTACCTAAAGCCCTACTGCTTTAGCAGAAATGGGGCTGTGATGAAACCATAATTCATTTCCTTCTTATTTTGTGTAAAGGTTTATTAGCTTGTGATTTAAGCAAACCATCTGGTCCTGCTGGCATTCCAGGTTATGTCAGACTCAATGCTTTCTCCCTGTAATATGTTACTTGAGGCAGTTAAATTACATACTTAAGTCCCAAGCCTGGCCTGTGCTTTTTCCATGTCTTAACATCTGTTCTGGGAAAATTTTCTGGGATCCAAACAAGTTTACATGGAGCCAGAACTCGTCTTTGTCTTTTTTTTCGTGGGTCTGTTTCTTTCTCCTCTCTGTCCTGCATTTTAGTCAGTTCAGTAAAAGATAATACAGAAATTTGCCCCCTTTTATCATTTCAGCAGTGTACACAGTGAAGTGAAAAATAGTTTAAAAACTCAGGATCTGAAAGAAAGTAGGAGAGAGTCCTCTGAGAGGCTGAGTACCACGTTATGGGAAATGTCAATTTATTTTTTTTTTTTCCAGTACTTGTAGTACTCTTAATACTGAATTGTAATTGCAAGACCTTTAGTTTTGGTTTAATTCATTTTGGACAGAACAGATTTCTGGTACATTTTAACTCATAATACTAATCTGTTGTTTATACAAGAAAGATCTATGTTCAGAAAGCCAATAATTTTAAATAGAAGTTAGCTTGCTGAGGCGGTTTTGAAGATAAGATCTCTAGTGATTGATTTATACAATGCTCATTGAAAATAAATTGCTCATGCAGGTACTTGTATCTTTATTCTCTAGAATTCCATCTTTTTGTATTCTGCCTGGAACATTTAAGATACAGCCATGAATACAAAGAGCTATCCCATAACCCACAGTGCCTGCATGTATATTGAGAGGAATATAATTCTTTAAGTTGGGAAGATAAAAATGTGGCTGTTTTCGGTAATTAAACATTAAAGCATAAGTTTCCCATGTATCACTGGAACTAAAAGTAATGTATCTGCAGCTTAGGAGTATGCAGAGATCTTTGTGTAATACTGAGTCTCTCTGCCATGCCCTTTGAAACCTTTAATTACAGACTGGTGTGCAGCCTTTTTCACTTGGTCATAAAAGTGTTCAAATACTTGACGAAAACAACACAAAACAAAACAAACAACAACAACAAAAAAAACCAACAAGGAAAGAGAAATACCAAGACTAACAGATAGCTTGGACCGTCTGCAAGATTGAAACTCCATATACATTTGAACTATTCATTCATTCATGTCCAGTCATTTAAGACTGGAAATTTTTCCTTTGCAGTAGGAGAACATTCTTCAGCTTTTTCCTCTTCATTTGTATGCGTACAGCATACAGAAGTGGAGTGTATGGCTCCCAATGAAGATTTTCTATCTTACGATCCAGAGAGAGGTCCTCTGATACTGCAAATGTTTTTCCAGTGTGTAGCATTTTGCTTTTTGTTTGCCGTATTGCCGTTTCTGCCTGTAAACTGTCATTCAAGGAAAGAGAAATGAGAAGCGAAAGTGCATTCTGTGCATTCTGATTTGAAATAATTCTAGTGATAGGGCACAAGCTTACTGAAAATCACAGAATCATGGAATGTTCATAGTTGGGAAGGACCCATAAGGATCATGGAATCCAACTCCTGGCTCCACAAAGCACCACTCAGAAATTAGACCCTATGTCTGAGAGTGGTGTCCTAACATCCCTTGAACACACCTTGTCCTCCTGACTCTGCTCCATCCTTGTAGCCGAAAAGTCAACGGCACGCCTCAGAAAATTCCGGTTCTTGGCAAATACTTTTTGTTGTATAATTAGCTGCACTCAGAGCAAAAAATCAAAGACAGATTTGAAGTTTCTCACATAGGATAAATTGGGCATCCATTGCAAGGACATCCATTGCAAGGAATGTGCTTCTAGTGAATATTTCTTTATCATTTCTTCTAGGACTGCTTACGGAGAAATATAGACAGATCTGCACTAAGATTCATAGCTTGGCATGTAAAATGCTTTGTTTTGTACAAGTTTAATGGAAATACTCTCATGGAATATCTATAGCTTGATGAATCCAAGTAATAAAGTCTTTAAGTATGAGCAATACTACTTCCATGAATTTTGTCTTTGATGCACACTGCCTTCTAGACAGAATGGAAAGCAATGACACTTCAGATGACTACATGTTGGTGTCATGTAAAAGCCATTCACATTCTATCCATTCCCTATATGTGATTAGATCAATTTTCTGTTAACCTTCGGAAACTTAGACTAGAGCCTTAGAATGAACGAAATTACCAAATGGAGTGATTAGAAAAAGAATACATGTGGTAGTCAGTACTCCAGTTCATGTAAGTTCATACTTTGCTGCAGACTTTAATCTTGCCGCCCAGCACTGACAGCCTTGCCCTAGCTATCGACCCCCAGCCTTTCTGTGTTGGAATAGCACAGAGCTGTTACACTACAGATCTGCATCAAGCAAATCAATCCTTCGTTATTAGTATCACAAATTTTATGGCTGGGAATGGAATGATGGACAGCAAAAGTCTTTCAGACTTCATTATGGAAAAGTTGCTTCAAAGACTGTTTTATCTTGGCAACTGACAGATTGACACAAGCCTTTCAGATTGTTGCCGTTGGCTGGGGACTTGTTTGTTTGAGGTTGTTTTTTTGTTAGAAGCAGAGGATTTTGCAGTTGGCATGCCTCTTTTCTCCTTGATTTAAAGAAAAATGTTTATGTATGATCCAGCCAAAGGAAGTAGAAGCTGATATACTGGTACATATTCACTTGCCCAACATATCGCTATTATTTTCTTTCTAGGTATCAGTTTTCTTCCTAGAAGTATTTTTTTCTGTTCATTATTTTTGCAGTTTTTTACATTCTTTTCCGACTTTTCTCTGTTTTCTTCTATGGGGCTTTTTCTTTGTTTATTTTAAAAACTGACAGAGGCTCTGGTCTTATTTTGTACACTAATGCAAGACGAAAAGCTTGGTTATTTTACACGTCCTAGCCAGTTTGAAGTATGTGTCACTGAAATTCTGCTTTGATCTGTTGATTGCTGAATGAATTGTTGATTGTACATTTTGAATAGTTCTTGATAATCTCATATCTTAAATTGTTCTTTATTTGCTGGATACAAGAAGAATTTTCATTGTCAGCTGTATTTGAATGGAAATAGGCATTTTGCAGTAAGCACTGCACAATGACTACAGTAGATTTTATAAATTGGTCTTTCTGAATTGCAACATTTCTTACTGTATCTATTACTGAGGGTGAAAAACAATCTTGTTATCCTTGTTTGTCCTGAGCCAATAGCTCTACCTCTCAGAATACTTGATTTATTAAAGCAGGTGATGATATGCTGTACACCTTACATCATCTAGCACCTAGACAGCAAGTGATGCACCATACATATAGCTATACTGATTTATTTATTGTGGTTTTGCAAGTTTAAGTGGCAAATTCTATCAGAGACAAAACCCACTGCTAGTACACAAAATGTGACTAGAGTCACTTGTGCATTATATATTCTAGAATTTACAGTCATCTTAATTCTGAACCTTTGAACCAAGTAATTTTGTAGTAGCCTAGAGATATAAGCATTACTCTTCTATAACTGTCTACCATCTTTGAAGGTGCTTTTGTTTCTGAATCACCAAATATGGCTATAATCATTGTTCAACAGATGTTTTGGGGGAAGTAGCCTTACTTACATTTTCATGGAAACCCAGTCCTCTCCTTGTTTGAGAAATATTCTTAACTTCATTCTTAAAGTAAATATGTTGCTTCTCTTTGGAGAAGTTGTTTTTATGTTAAATTATCAATGCGCTCTATTTAATACTTAGCATTTTCCTAAGCTAATTTAATGCCAATTGACCATCTATTTTTCCTTGTGTTACATTCTCTAAAATAGAAATACTGAAGAATTGAAGATTTGTAGTTTGGTATTTCAAAGGTAATGTTTCAGTGACCAGACCGTATTAATTCACATTCTATAATGCTGCTTCCAAAACGTGTAGATATACTTTACACAGCAGTAGATGATGATGCTTCTGGTCTACAGTGTTAGGCAGTGTACTTGCACTGGTAATCTTAGAACTCTAACTTTATTGGGACCTTTAGTAAGTTCCAGTCAGTCACACTGTGCTATTTTTTTCTCCTGCCTTCCTCGAAAATGTTTTAGGTAGAAGAGCTGATGATGGCCATGGAGAAGGTTAAGCAGGAGCTGGAGTCGATGAAAGCAAAATTGTCTTCTACACAACAGTCTTTGGCTGAGAAGGAAACCCATTTGACCAACCTACGAGCAGAAAGAAGAAAACATTTGGAGGAGGTCCTGGAGATGAAGTGAGTGGTTATTTCCATTATTTGTAGGCATGTTTTATTGATATTTATGAATTCTTCACTTATCTCTGATGATTTAAAGACAGCTATTAATTTGCCTCTGTAGATACGTATCTGTATAATCAGTCAAGTCTTCAGAAGTGAATGTGCCATCTTACCTTGAATTTCTTGTTATCCACTTTAAGGCAAGACACCAGTCAGTGTAACAAATGTTAAAAAGGAGAGAGGGATGAGGCAAACATAATTCCAAATAGTTGTAATGCTGAAATGAGACTGCAGATGTCTGGTCTGCTAAAGTATTTTTCAGACTCATGTGAATGATTCATTAGCACTGGAACAGAGACTTAATTTCTGTATCAGACTTCTCTTGTCATCTTTACATAAGGGGATCTGAGTAAAACCAAGCTTTGAGGTGGGGAGAAGTGAGGAAATAGACTTCTAAGGCTTAAATACTTCCTAATTTCTGACTGTGCATTATAGATGAATAGTTATCCTTAGTTTAGGGAGACGGGAATCCATTTAGTGCAATGATGGATAGTGCTGCCAGCAGTTCATTAGAAACACTTTCAGTTGTTTAGCCAGCCCTGAAGAGAAGGAACGTTTTTATTGGCAGGACCAGCAGTGGTTCCTCCACTGTGGTTTTGTGAGCCATTATTTATTTATTTAACTTTTCTATGCTATCTTCTTTCCTTTCTTTTTCTTTCTTTTTCTTCATTATTTTTTTTTACAGTGAAAGGATAGAAAAACAGCTGTTATAAAATGCAAAGAGATGTGGCTTAAGTCTTGAAACTCTTAAATTAGGAGTGCTCTGCAAAGTGGGCCAAGCTTCTCTAGCTTCATATTAAGCTACTACACTCTGATCTAGACCTGGCACAGAGACGTTGGAAGACTGGAGTACTTAAAAGCCACACTTTTTATTTTTAATAAAAAAAATTTATTGAGCTATAAATTTGACTGGCTTGAATGCTGGTGTACTGGGGGATGGGAACAATAGCTCTTAAGGTGATATGGGAATCCAAACCAACTGGAGATATATCCCATATCCAATCACTTGGCAGTACTTTCTTCTGCCAAACTGCTCTGCCAAACCTCCTCATTAAAATATACACGTATTGTACAATATATCCTGAAATGTATTTTGAATTGTGAGGCTTTCACACTTTCAGTATAACTACTCACTTCTTTTAAATGATGACCTCTCTTACCTAAGTAAGTTATTGTTGGAAAGCCATTGTATTGAAATTAAGTATCGAGAACTGCATTAACTGGTAGATCCATTGTGCCAAAGAAGGAAGAAGAACACTGGAGAGAATGGTAATGCTGTCAGCACATGGACAGAAAGATGGAAAAAACATTACACTTGTATAGTTAACTAGCTGAACGTGTTTTAGACGTAGCTGGGCTGTCTGAAAGTTCTATAAAGCTGCCAAATGCATCCAAACTTCAAAAACTCACCCTTGCCATGAGTCTTTGCTGCAAACATGTCTCTACTGAGGACTCCCAGTCAATTAAATATCTTACTTGAAAAAACTGCAGTATATTCTTTGTTGCACACTTTCGCAGCCCATGTCTTTTTTGAAAAGCACTCTTCTCAGATGTTTTCTAGTTTTGCAGAATTTTCTAGTGCTTTTAAAAATGTTTTCTACTATTTCAATCCAAAAATAACACTAACGGAATCTTTAGTAAATTTTTTGAAGCAGCTGAGCTGCTGGTTTGATATTTTAACAAAAAGCAATAGTTGTGCAGCTACAGTTCATTGACACTGTAAAGCAGCGTTGTTCCCCAAATTGTAGGGCACACTTCTGTGCAAAAGGTTTCAGATATTCAAAACAACAGTGCTTAAATTTGCTATTTGATAGAGGCTTACATTTAATAGCCTGGGCCCTACAGGAAGCTAACAGAGCAGGGGGGAATGAGGGGAATATACAGAAAAAAGCTTAGGAAATGCTACTTCAGTAGATTCTAGATATGGACTGAAAGAAGGTGTTAAAACGGAGGAAGGACTCCAGAAAGCTACCTTGGAGTTGTTACAGGAAGTTGTTAGATATTTTGTTAGTGATATGTATTTAAAATAGCATGTCTTAGAGTAGAACTTGTGTTTGCTACTGACGCTGTAATCCTGAGAAGATTGTTTCACACTCTTTAGGGAATACTGTGGCACTAGAACAGCAGAAAAGTGAATTATTCCAAGGAGGAAATTTCACTGCTTAAAGAAATACTACGTATTTTGAACCTCTCTGCCTTTTAAGTCTAATATTTTCATTTTCTTTAAGAAGTATCTTACTTGTAAATAATTATAGGAGAGGTAGATAATAGTCTCTCCATTTACTTCAACAAACATGATCTACTGTAAAAAAAAAAAAAAAGCCAGCGAACTGCTAGAATTTTTGTTTTGTTATGTTTTCTTTAAGAAGTTCTAATGTTTCCATCATTCACAGCAAATATTTCAAATTAGGCAGGAATAAAGTGCTGTCTACAGAGAAATCTCTGTTCTTTGTCCCATAAAAACCTGCTTAGGCTGAGCTGAGTTATAAACTGTTGAAAATCACCAGTTTTCCTTTCCCTTTTTTCTCCTGGTGTTGTCAGCAAATTTTGGCAGTGTGTGAAAATAACCGAGTACAAACATTCTAATCTGTGGCTGAGTTCATGCAATTGCCAAAACTGCAGCAGCAGACACTGCACTTATAGGGAAGGGGAACAGACACTGTGTCTGCCTATAGAGAAGAGACTTTTTTTTTCTTTTTTTTCTCTTTTTTTTTTGGTCTGGGCAGGGCTTTTGTTATGGACAGAAGGAACAGAAGATTCTCCAAAGTCATCTATCTACTTCAGGGTTGCTGAGTTCCAGTTGGTGCATTTTTCAACCTGTTCCTCTAGACCTGGGAACTTGTCTAACAAATCTTTCCTAAATTATGCCTTTCCTTGCTCATTGAAGTTACTGCTAACTCCGTAATTCAGATGTTGCAGACTTACACAATGTAGTTGGTACTTCAAATTTGAATCCTTGATCCTGCTGGCACACAACAGAAAGATTATCACTTATCCAAGAATAATTCACTATAATCTTTTTTTTTTTTCCTTTAGAAATAATTAAGCATATTACAAAAGGATTGTTACAATAGAACATATAATTTATTTCAAAATTAAGTGCTCAAAATGTCTTGATTACTCACATGACTTTGAGTGGTCTTCTGAATATTTATTACAGCAGTATTTACTTACATGAATAATCCCATTTTTCTGGCAGATAATGTTTGATTTGATAGAGAGCATAGATGGTGATCAGAGATTAACCAGGCTGTGTAGCTTCATTATACTGTTTATTGCATTCTTATTTTATTTCATATATGAGTTGGAAAGTCTGCTGAGAGCTACGTGAGGGCTACTATTAAAAACAAGATGCCAACCTAGGAAATGCAGTGTTAACCCTTCTCTGCTGCAGTTTTCCTACACAGTGTGCAAGCCACTTGAAGTAATTGGTAGATGATTGATAAGTCCATATGTTTATCTTCTAAAATGTTAATCCTTCCAGCAGTAAGGTAGTATTGTCTGCAGGTATGAGTAGGAGAGGTTGAAATTGAAAGTGATCCAAAAGAAACTGATTAACTGTCATAGAGTTTATCTTTTGGCCCAAAATGATGCGTAAAATAATTCGAATACAGCAAACAGTTTCACCAAACCAGTTTTTTTCGTGTTATGTGTACCCATGATGAGCAGAACCAGCAAAAAAAAATCCAGAACCAAACAGTATCAGTGTCCTCAATGTCCATCCACCTCATCACAAAATGTGTTCTTGGAAATTAAAGAAATATTTGTTGGAGTTATTGTGGAAATCTTATGTTATGCTCTAATGACAGTTCTCCAGAGGAGTAGAGTGATTTGTAGTTTCAGAGGAAGTATATACATAAAAACAATTCTCTCTGTAGTTTGAAACAAGTTCATATTTGTCAACAGTGCTACAAATCAGTAGTACCTTAACCTTGCACCTGGCTTTCCAGATCCAATTCAAAACTTCTCAGCATTTTTAGCTGGACTATGTGGTCTGTGGGCCACATGGTGTATCAGGCCATCAGGCAATTGCAGCAGTGCTGCCAGCGTTCTTCCTGTAATTACTTCTGAGGTTTTAAATAAGCTCCAATCCCACAGAGGACACTCAATTTCTGTAGCATTTACTGTTTGGGGCAACACAGAACAAATGCATTCCTTTTTTCCTCTGTAAGCCTAGGGTTTTTTTTTCATTAAAATGTCTTTTTTTAGAGGAGGACAAAAAGTGAAAATAAACATAAAAAATATCCTATTCCCATTATTTTGTCCTTTTCCATTTTTCAGCTTAAAATATACGTGTTTATTTAAATTAGATATGTTCACTGAGTAAGATTCTGACATTTAAGCTGTCAGTGAGTCTGGTATGTGAAAAAATACCAATTTCTAATAACTGAAGAATTGAGATATTAAGACTAAATGATTGCAAATAAACGGATGCTGGAACTGCTGTTAATCTCAAAGTGATTCTCACTGAAGCCAATAGGAAAGTTGAAATATATCTTCTAAAGCTCAAGGTTATTGCATCACTGTTCTCCTTACTATAATGAACCACTAAGCTTTTCACAAATGTGAGTGTAGATCTTGGTTACCTTGGAATTTGGTGGGTTCTGCTATAATTATTTCATTTATTTGGATGCTTGAGAGAAAATGTAATCTCTTACGCACTTCTCCTCTTTTGTCAAGTAAGTAATTGGAATCCATTATCCTTTGTGTCCTGCTGCGTAGTCAGTAAGCCTTCAAGCACTGGTAGGTACTCAATGGCAACATTAAGGGCATCCTGCCACTTTGTTTTCAGTGAAACTGATGGAAGCAGAGAAGCTTAACCCAGCAGCAGTACTACAAAACTCTGGTCGCAATTCACGTAGGTGAGAGATCTATTAAATTTAAATCTTAAAGCTTAGCAAAGCAGAAAGAAGTGGGACTTCTAGTGAATCTTATGTAAACAAGGTGCCCCATATCAG